CGTGATGCATCCGGGAGCATTTTGTGAAGACTGCCCCCCCGTAAATAAGAATCATGTCCACAAGTTCAGCATTTTCGTAAACATGTGCCATTTTTGATTTCGTTTGAGCCACGCAACACACTACTATTCACTTACGCGTTATCGACTGACGAAAAACATCGTGATAAACGTTTCAAATTCTTTCGCTTTTTTGTTTCCAATGCGATGAACCGGTCAGGCGGATTATATCCGTTGTCGCCAAACACGAGCATATAATAGGCAGGGCGGTACTCAAACTTCCAAAGGGCTATAACTTTGTTACTTTAATTTTACCAGAAAAATGGTAAAGGAAAAAAACATTTCTTTTGATCAGATCTACTCACTGTTAAAATAAATGACTCAACTTCGAAGTGCTAAGACGGTGGGGTGCGTACCATACGACGCGAGCGACCATTCAATTGACATGGAAATTCATATGTGCAATTTTAGCTATAGATTAGTAATACATTTCACATACATGTTTTTCTCTTGCCAATGTCAATTTAATCTTCACGAATATCTTTGTTTTTGAATGTATCTATACTTATTATGTATCTATGTATATTACTATTGTTCTTTATGTACGATAATGACGTGCAGTATATCGATGAGATGATCTAGTTAATATCTATTTATTTATCTATCTGTCTATTGTGTTATATATACTTTTTAATTTTCGGAATTTTAAAACCAGGAAACTTCTAAATCATCAACTGGGAAATATCTCAATTTCGCATGGTCGTTGGTATTTTTGAAATCCACTATCAGGCTCAATCAATCATGTAAGTGATAGGTTGAATTGCATTGGAGGGGATTACTTACCTGCCCGTGGCAAAAAAATATGCAAAATGGGTTGATACTCTAGTAAACATTCCAATCCTTGGGATTTCCCGAAAAGGGCTGCTTTTACAAAGAACGGATCCAAATTTAGTTTTTGTTGAACTTCCTGCGAAACTAGTTGATGACATTTGTGATATATCAAAATGTATTCCAAGACGTAACTCGAAAAGTTGAGTATTGCGCACGCGATATGTTCTATAGTGCAAACTGTGAATGAGGTGGAATTCGAGGCGACAGGTCCAGCATCGCTATGTAACAAGGTACGTGGAGATTTTACTTAACAATTAGAAAATTATATGCTCTGTAAAATGGAAAGGCGCAATGGAACCGATTTTGATAAACTTTGTCACGATAATAAAATTACTATTTTTGGGAGTGCCTGCACCACCTGATGCTATACATGGTCTAACCGGTGTGAAGTTAGCAGCCAATTCTTCCGGGCATTCGCGTGAATTTAGCAGCCAAGTTTCAGCAACCACTTTTTTGTACCAAATCCTGAATTTTGCATCGTATTTACCTAGCTAATTTTAGCAACAGACAGTCTCAAAAAGGGTAGTTTCACGCTTAGCGCAAATATATTTAGAAAGAGGTATGCAGCTTTTTAAAAAGGCCAACACCATTGACGAATAATAAAAATAAATACAGTTATGTAGGCGTAGAAGTCAGATTATTTGTTTTTTTAGCTGACGTAGGGGTATATCTCCCAACTAGTTAGAAATAGAGTTGCCGGCTAAAAATAAATGAATAGTGTTTCACTAGTAGCTATTAGGTCACTTCTTCGGACTCGTCGAAGGGGTGTACTTCACCCCTTGCACGTGAAAAATGTGTTTTGTGCTTTTTTCACCTAGCCAGAAATAAACTGACAGGCTGGAAATGAATCAGAAATGTTCCTTCTGTTAGTAGCTATCAGGCCATATAGGTCCCATCTTCTTCGGACCCATCGAAGGGGTTGATTTCTTCTCTTGAACGTCAAAAATACGGTTTTTTGCATTTCTGATTCATTTTTAGTCTATAACTTTTTTTACGAAGAGATGAGAAAAGCAAAAAGCCGCAACCGTTCAAGGGCTGAAGTCAACCGATGAAGAAGGGATCAAGGCCTTATACGGGCCCCTTCCCACTTCAGCTGGCCCACTTCAAGATTTGTACCAAAATATCCCTTTATAAACTAAACATGACGAAACTATTTACTTCTAAAACAATTTATTTTCTCAAAAACATTTTAGATACACTCTAGTCGTAAAAAATACATATTTGAAATCACTTAGACCTATAACTAATAGAACATCTGAACAAATAAACAATGTGCGAATAAATGCGCGAAGTTAACAAAGCAACAATTGAAAGATTACCATTGGGTAACATCACCTTTATGTTTTATTACGGCAAAAATTTGGTGTAAAACAATCCCATATTTCTTGAAGCTTTTGTCTCAGTTCGTTGATTGTACGAGCAGGATGTTGTCGTAGAACCTTTTTCATCTCGTGCCACAAAGTTTCAATAGGTGACAGATCTGGACTGCTAGAAACCCACTTCAAAAGTGGTACATTATTTTCTTCCATCCATTTTATAGCCTTTTTTGAGGTATGGCACGCTGCACCATCTTACTGAAACACAAAATATTGGCCGGATGTCAAACATTCTTCCATCACTGGTAAAAGCGATTCTTCTAAAATTGCCAAATATTTGTTTGTATCCATATTTCCATCAATAAAATGAAGTTTTCCTACTTCTTTTGATGACATACTGCCCCAGACCATAATGAATGCTGGAAATTTCACTTTTCTCTTCAGACAGTCAACATGGAATGCTTCATTTTTTTGCGAATAACTCTACTGCGACTGTAACCAACACAAACTTCGGGCCTCATCACTCCATTGTATTGCACACCATTGTTGAGGTGTCCATTGTCTATGTTCTTTAGCCCATCTAAGCCGATTTTTCTTTTGCAGTGGAGTTAATAGTGGCTTTTCTTTGCCCTATAAACAAGATGTGCAACTTTAGGGTTTTTACTTCACTTTTTTTTATAAGAAAACTTACCTTGCAAGTGTTAAATCCCAGTTTGTGGGCCTCTCTATGAGTTGTGGACCTCGAAATTCTCCTTCCAACAGCGTCACTCCTCAGAGCACTTAATTGTAAATAATTGGCACGCCTGTTTTTCACGATTATTCTTCTTAATGCTCTTCGGTCGGCATTTGTGATATAACAAAGTTGGAATTTCCGAGTTTGATTTCCCAGAATTAAAAATTTTAATTATCAGTAACCGAATTTTCTCACTAATAACCTTTCCTCTACCCATTTTGAAAACCTTAACTACCCAAAACTATTTTAAACGTATGCTGACAGCTGTGATTAATAAAAACAATTATTGTCATGGCTTTTATTTTTCACAGCCACCTATGCGTTATAGACTTATTTTGCATTGAAATGAAAATAGGTTGATATATGCTGTACAGGCGTCCCTCGTTTTACGCGGCATATTTGTACGCGGTTTCGCTTATACGCGTTTGCGCTTTTGACACCAGTGATTTATTTTACGCGGTTCACTTATACGCGGTTGCAATCGGGCATGACCTGATTAGTAGGGAATATCCTGGGCAACTTTTAAAAACCATTGAAGAAGAAGGTTTTAAACCTGAGCAGGTTTTTAACGCGGACTAAACTGGCTTGTTTTGGAAAAAGATGCCAAACCGTACATTTTTTTCAAAAGAGAAGACCGCACAGTGCTTGAAAGTAGCAAAGGATCGTCTCACACTTTTGCGTTGTTCAAATGTTTCTGGAGATTGTATGATTAAGCCTTTATTAGTGTACAAGTCATTGAATCCCCGTGCTTTAAAAAACAAAGATAAACATAAATTGCCTGTGTTTTGGCGTGCCAATGGTCATGTATGGGTAACGGGAGACATTTTCTTAGACTGGTTTGAGAACTGAAAAATCTTGAGTTTAAGGTGTTATTACCCATAGATAATGCCCCTGGTCACTCAGCCGCCCGTTTACAGGAAATAAATCCCAATGTTCGAGAAGAATTTGTTCCACCAAACACCACATCAATCCTACAGCCTCTTGATCAGGGAATCATTGCCATCTACAAAGCTTATTACACGCGACGCACGTTTAAAACGCTGTTAGAAAACTTGGAACGCAACCCTACAAAAACATTAAGCCAATGCTGGAAGGAATACACAATTGCAGATTGCCTACATAGTATTAAAGAATCGATTGGTGAACTTAAAAAAACGACATTAACTGGTTGCTGGAAAAACTTATGGCCAGAAACTGTGAAGTCTCATGCGAAGGTGCCTGATATCAGAGACGAAATCAAAGAAATTGCTGATTTAGGAAAGTCATTACCTGGAGAGGGATTCGATGATATGAATCGACGATATAAATCAGCTATTTGAATCGCATAATGTTGAACTCACTGAAAGAGAACTCATAGAACTGACGGAGAACAATTATGAAGCTCAAGAAGAAGGTGAAGATGATGAAGTAGTCCCGGCACCAAAGGAGTTGACGAAGAAAACGCTTAATAAATGTTTTACCATGGCACACGATCTCACCGAGCTGTTAATCAGGGAAGATCCTACAATGGAAAGAAGTTTAAAAACTAAACGAGAGGTTTTTGCAGCATTGGCACCATACAAGGAAGTTGAGCAGAATTTACGCAACGCAGCTAAACAGTCAAAAAATACGTCTTATGTTTCTAAAAATTAATATTTTTGTTAAAAAATTAACGTGTAATGTTCTCATAGATAATATGTACAAACATACCTATGTATATTATGTATTTAACAAAAGTTTATGTAATAAAATGTTTTGTTTCTTTCTACGCGGTGTTTTCAAAGAACGTTACCCCCGCGTAAAACGAGGGACGCCTGTAATTGCAACATGTGTTATTTTTATGCTGCAAATTTGATTATGGAGTGACAAAGTTGGTGTTTTCTACTATATATTATCAAAATATTTATTGTTAATATTCTAAACCTATAACACACTGCTACATTTTTATTATTTGTGTTTGATAAGAAAAAAACTAAGATTTCAATAGTTGGGCCAACTGAAGTGGGAAGGGGCTCGTAGCTTCTAATAAAAGGAACACTTTTGATTCATTTCTAACTGCCACTTTATTTCTGCCTCTGTGAAAAATGCAAAAAACACATTTTTCACGTTCAAGGGGTGAAGTCGACCCCTTCGACGGGTCCTAAGAAGATGGGATCTATGTGACCTTATGTTTACTAATGAAAAGAACACTTTTGATTGATTTTTAGCCTGTAACTTTATTTCTAGCTGGCTGAAAAATGGAAAAAACACCCCTACAACGGGTCCGAAGACACCCAATACCTACTAGTAGAACACTATTTATTTATATTTAGCTTGTAACTCTCTTACTAACTAGGCGGGAGATATAAAAAGCTGTCTATGTTCTGAGGGTGCAAAGTATCCCTAAGTCAAGTAGAAAAAAACAATAATTTGACTTCTACGCCTACATAACTGTATAAACGATGCGCTTTATTCATTTTTATTATTCACCAATGCTGTTAGCTTTTTTGAAAAGCTGCATACCTCTTTCTAGATATTTTTGCACGAAGGGTGAAACTACCCTTTTTGAGGCGGTATGTTGCTAAAATTAGCTAGAAATACTATGCAATCGTTAAAAAGTCAGTAGTTGGTACAAAAAAATGGCTAGTGAAAATTGGCTGCTAACCTCACGCGAATGCCAGGAAGAATGGGCTGCTAGAAAGTGGCTGCTACCTTCACACCGGTCTAGAAGCTCGATACAATGGTAGAAGTACTTGGGATAAAGGTCCGCACTCGATTTCATGCTGTAATATATTCGTGCATTATGTAATCAAATCCATCATGTGTTTTGGATTTAATCACGTTACATATAAAACATAACAACATGAAGAGTCCGGAACTGATTATTACATTTTGATCTTAAGTAGTCGAATTCATAAAACTAGGACATACTGTAACCTCATATCATCGTTAACTTTCTAACGCCTATACTGGCAATTTTTGTGTTTTTATAAGTTAGGAAAATAGTTCCGGATGTTGTAGTACTACTGAACTTTGAACATGATTTCATTTCACTGTTATCTCAGTATCTTGCTGATGTGCCTTATATTTTTACGTATAGATTGCAGTAGTGCGAAAAACCACAATTGATAACAAGAGGCGTATGCGGTACAGACGTTGGTGGGTCAGCGATCCTGAGAGTTCCGTCATATGATCGTCAATAAGTTGGATTCTGCTGGGCCCACGGATTCTGCTTCAAATACTCACAGAAGCAGTTCACAAGCTGATGGTGATACAATAGGTGGGGTATTTCCGATTTCAGCCATGGACATGCCCTTTTTTGAAAATAATCTGATGGATAGTCCCGCAAGCAACGTAAGCGATGCAACCACCATAACCGTGATTTCGATCAACCAGGAGCGAAAACGTGATGAGGACTATGTTTCGACAAACATATAGTTCCATAGACCAACAAATTAAAGCAAAAAGGAGTTACCCCGTGGAGGTTGATATGAATAACATGGGTGAAATAGAGCCGGAATGTGTACGCTCTACACTATTTTATTATATGAATGATGTCTTAAAATGTGCTTGTTATTGGCAATTTTATAGTTTTCGCTGTAACAAGTCTGGCTGCGTAATTTATGGAAAATGTGGCCGACCAAAGCATTCGCAGTACTTTAAATTTTCGGTAACTGCTGTGGATTCATATCTAGCCCGTGTGTTAATACAAAGCCCAGGCCCTTTACTAGCCTCGCATGGTAATGATGCGATACTATTCAGGCAAGTCCGGGGCCGCGAACCAACAAAGCTAGCCAACATATTAAAATATTGGAGGCGCTAGTGACTTTCAACTAAAAACGATTAGCAAAGCTGATTCCGAGCTGTTGCAAGATGGCAATCCACAACAAATACGGAAGTTAGCGACATACCACAAAATAGCGTCTGAAACGAAATATGGGAGTAGGTTACAATTAGAATCTCGAGACCTATCAGACATATTTCATTTGTGGATTGAACAACACACAACAAGGGACCCAAATTTACGATCTGTTGCGTTGCCTTTAACTGTACTGTGTTATAGTGAAAGGCAACTAAATTGGGTGGATGCAAAGGGGACAGTAGTCCATTTGGATGCTTCTAGCTCTATTTGTCGAAAACCCAAGGACTTAGTCTGTAAAAAAATATTTTATTATTCTAATGCCATCAATCGATGATACCAATCGCTGAGATGATCACATCTCAGCACGACATCACATCTATTTCGACATTCCTTAAATCGTTAAAACCGTTCATAATCAGCAAAGTATATAAATGGCCATTGGTAAAACCAGTAGTCATTGACTGGATCTGGGTCTTTATTAATTCGATAGTGAGTGAGTGAATCGGCATTGATATTGTGCAGTATTTGACGCGCCATATATCTTCATCCACCCCATTTTCAAGTGTTACTTTATTTATTATAACATGCACACTTCATCAAACGCGTCTCAAAAACGATTCATAGAAATTTTGCACAGTATATTAATATTGAAAAGATTTTATTGTAATCATGATTTATTGTAATTCATGATTTTATTATTGGTGTGCAGAGAAAGGTCACAGTTGCGATCCATCTTCCACCATATTCTTATTACTTTAGTAACGACTTGTGAGAAGGAGGCTAATACAGCGTTCAAATAACTAAATGCTTTATTAGACTCAAATTCCGAGGTTCGCAACTTAGCGGAATCTCTCGACACTGAAACAGTTTACGATGATGATGTTGAGCTCGAACTGCAGGACATGACTAGTGGAGCTATATATTTACGGTCACCTTTCTACCAGTGCTTTATAAAACAGCTAAGCGATGTAGAAACTACTGTACAAAAGACGAGTAATATATCCAACATCTATCATGCGCCGGACTTTGCGGAATATATAGTCGTTACGTATATGACATATGTTCCGATGTGGTCGGGATTATGTTTGGATTCTGTGGATCCGAATATATCGAGAGTAAGCAATGCTTACGTTGAGAGTCACTTTCGTGTAGTAAAGGAGCACATCCTTCGTGGGCATTGCCAACACTCAGTTGCGGACGTTGTTCGTAGTCTTAACGACTATGTCGAGCAACTTATTTCCGAAAACCATGTCAACTTTCCCACGAAAGCATCGCTTACAAATACTAAACGACCTGCATACCCTGATCTAGCATCCAACCCATATATTACGGAAATTTGGAAAAAGGTCGCCAAGAGGTCCAAAAAGCGCCACATTCAATGCGCTGACATTAGAAGTTGTGGCAAGAAAGATCGGCTGCAAGAATCTCCCTCCCAAACTGAATTAGATTTCGCTACACCTATAGGAGATAAAACTTGCCAATCAGTTTCAATAGCAACAATGACAAACGGGCTAGTAAAAAATACAGCATATTATCTTCAATCTAACTCGTACAACATACAAATTCTATTGTATAAAGCTTTAAGAAATCCTCCATTGTTGTCAACTTTTCACCAAATTTCAGCTCAAGAGTTTTCGACTCTCAAATACCCTTCTTATATAGATGGTGTCGCGATAGACTGCTTTTCCATGACCCATATAGAGCAATGGGATAATGCAATGTATCTTTCCACCTACGATACGAGAGATGTATTTTAAGTTTTGCATATAGAAACATAGCAGGCCGCGCGGATCGAACGTCAGTACTGAATCTTAACCTCCCACTTTAGTAAACTTAAATTTAAAGTTTCACAACAATACGTGCAGTGTTCTCACTACAGTGAATTTTTAAGTGTCACCAAGTCATTAGAAAAATGGAACTCAACTGAGGACATTTTCGCGCCATAATTAATTACAACTTTCAGAGACAATTATCGCAACAAGAATGCCTTGCTGAGTTACTGTCTGTTTTCCTCAACGAAGCGCCACATCAGTCGACAATTTCTCGGGTGGGTGCACCAAAAACGGCAGTCACTCAGGAAAACGTCGATGCTGTGCGCAAACTCATCATTGATGATAGACATATGACATATCGCGAGATTGAGGCGTCCTTGAAGATCTCAAAGACCTCAATTCAAAAAATTTTACTTGAAGAATTAGGAGTAAGAAAATTGGTTTCTCGTTGGATACTCCACCTGTTGACTGAAGAGCAGAAAGCAGCCAGGGTTAATTGGTGTCAAAAAACGCTTGACCGTTTCAATTCCGGAAACTCAAAATATGTGTACAGCATTGTTAGTGGTGATGAATCGTGGATTTACTGTTATGAACCGGAAAATAAACGACAGTCGGCTGTTTGGGTGTACCAAGGTGAAGAAAAGTCAACCAAGGTAATCCGTTCTCGAAGTGTTTCGAAAAAGATGGTCGCGACATTTGTGTCAAAAGCGGGTCATACTGCAACAATTCCTCTTAATGAGCAAAGAACTGTTACTGCGGATTGGCATACCACCATTTGTTTGCCAAAAGTCATCACCGAGCTTCGAAAAATCAACCCCGAAAGAAGAATCATCCTCCACCAAGACAATGCAAGCTCGCACACAGCCCAAAAAACAAGGCAGAATTTAACGGAAGAAAACGTGGAATTATTGGACCATCCTCCATATAGTCCCGATCTAAGTCTTAACGATTTCTTTACTTTCCCGAAAATTAAAAACAGACTGCGTGGTCAAAGGTTCCAGTCATCAGTAGAAGCAATTGACGCATTCAAAAATGCCGTTTTGGATCTGATCTGCCAGCAAACGAGTGGAATAAGTGCTTCGAAAATTGGTTCGAGCGCATGCAGATAAGTATTAATGTTCGTGGAGAATACTTCGAAAAACAATAAAGTCATTTAAAACTACCTACCGTGTTGTTTTATTTCCATATGCAAAACTTAAAAGACATCCCTCGTAGCATAGATTTCTCTGAGAATTGGGAGCGTCGTCGCAGTGATTCATGTGGCATTTTTAATATATCTCAGACACTGGAAGGTAAATAAATTATTGATACCATATCTGTACCAGATGCATTGGCGTTTGTTAGTAGTTGATATTACCGTTGTTAGATCCACTGCAAATAACTACTGATCGCGCCAGAGTAAAAATGGCTTTCGATAGATTCCTCGCACAGTGTCACGAGCACTCCACACTAAGATCTCTGCAGAACAAATCATGGAAATTTGTTGACATAAAGCACCGACCATATCAATCACGCAGGGATAGTGTGAATTGTGGATGCTACGTGATGCAATATATTAAGAGTATTGGCATGGATGAGCTTTTTGATTTGGAATTCAATCCGGTTAAATACAGATACACGGTTGCTGAAACTCTTTTGGAATCTTCTGAAGATGTCAGTGCATTGTGCTTGTACTGTTTCAGCGCGGTTGACATAGAAGATAGTACAGTGTGTTGTCACTGCAGGCGAATGATTCATACTGCTTGCATTGATATAGGTGAACGTGACACATCTGAGGATGAGGAAGTGTCCGTTGGTCGCACCTTACGAAAAAGGAGCAAAAGATCAATAAAAGATATTGGTTTGAAACAGGAGGAAAACCGATTTTTATGCAAACTGTGTTCCAGATGGCATAACCAATAATGTAACGGAAATTCATTCAGTCTTAGTCTTCAGTCAACCTTATGGCTTCATTTGAGCTTGTGTGCATCATGAAAACCTTGTAATGAATCTATCTAGTCCACTACGTGATTTGTGAAGATGTAGCAACAAAGAAGTTGTGTACGAAGAACTATTGCGTGGGACTTGTTAATATTTTGTCTTATAATAAGTATTAATACTTAAGTAAGACTTTAACGAGGTTATATTAAATATTGTATTATAGTCCAGAAAATTTGCGATACGCACCGAGGGGTAGTGCAAAACTAAATGAAATATCGATAACTTGACAAAAATGCATTTTGCAGGCAGTATTACCTCATGTATTCGATATCTGTATAAACGTGAGAGTTTCCGTGTAAAGCGCACCAGTGTTTTCCGGTTTTTTTTTTAGGTATTGATGAACGTTGTTTATCTGGGCAACTACAACGGTAACCTGGGGCCTGATTCTAAATGAGTTTCGTCCGTTGAAATTGATTTCAATGGCGTCTTGAGTCGATATACTTGATGCGCTACGATAATTTTTACACTGCCATGATAATTTCAATATATAAGAATCGATATAACGATATGGCAAAATCATCATTCGGAATCAAGTATATCGTCTAAAGACGCCATCGAAATTGATTGCAACGGTCATTCAGATTCAAGCCCCTGATCTCATAAGATATCAACAAGTGCAACTAAGGGAGGTTTCAAATCTAACAAACTGGAACTGCAACAGGTGTATGCAACTTGTTACAATTGAAACGCCCTTCTTCGGCACCAGTGCCGCAACATGCTTCACTGTTTTTTTTGCACTAATTGTTTGGTCCATGTTGACAACAATCGCCCGGCTTATATACCATAATATTTTGCGGAGGACATTTCAATCTAACAAGTCGCCAACCTTATTGCGAAATACATTTTTGACCCTGAAACTTCTTCCACATGTTTCCACTTTATATCTTTGTGTGTCATATATGTTGTTAGTTTTTATATTTGTATTTATATATTTGTGTACCGCATAGCTACCTTTGTCAATTGGAAAATACACTACTATTATTTTTATTAGTATTATTATTACTCCCGACAGGAAACACCCTCAACCTTTACGATACGGTAACAGGTAAAAACGACCTATTTACTGCATTTGTCGGCACCACACGTCCACATATCACGATCTAATCACGTTTTATGAACAGCATACCTCTGTATTGTTGAATTTGATCTCACCCGTTTGGTTTTACTCAAGTACAGATTATTTTAGTTAGATTTTAGCATCTACGAAGGATGTCTTTTAATTTTTGGATATAGAAACATAGTAGGCCGCGCGGATCGAACGTCAGTACTGAATCTTAACCTCACTCTTTAGAAAACTTAAATTCAAAGTTTCACAACAATACGTGCAGTGTTCTCACTACAGTGAATTTTTCAGTGTCACCAAGTCATTAGAAAAATGGAACTCAACCGAGAACATTTTAGCGCCATAATTTATTACAACGTTCAGAGACAATTATCGCAACAAGAATGCCTTGCTGAGTTACTGTCTGTTTTCGGTCACGAAGCGCCAGTCGACAATTTCCGGTTGGTATGTAGAATTCAAACGTGGACGGGTGCTATGTATAAACAAAGAGGGATCAAAAACCGGGGGTTCCGGACTTGCTTTGGGAAAACGGCTGGTAGGGAGTGATAAGGTAGATTATATTGATGCCAGAAATGTGAAAAACTTTTTGGTCTTCGGCTGTTTTGACAAATAATAGATTTTTTCAAATTTGTCATGTATAAATAAAGAGGGGTTAAAAACGGAGGGTTCCGGACGTGCCTTCGGACAACGGCTGGTAGCAAGTGATAAAGTAGATTATATTGATGCCAGAAATGTAACAAACTTTTTGGTCTTCAGCTGTTTCGACGAATAATAGATTTTTTCAAATTTGTCATGTATAAATAGAGGGGTCAAAAACGGAGGGTTCCGGACGTGCTTTCGGAAAACGGCTGGTAGGGAGTGATAAGGTAGATTATATTGATGCCCGAAATGTAATAAACTTTTTGGTCTTCGGCTGTTTTGACGAATAATAGAGTTTTTCAAATTTGTCATGTATAAACAAAGAGGGAGCAAAAACGGAGTGTTCCGGACGTGCTTTCGGAAAACGGCTGGTAGCGAGTGATAAGGTAGATTATATTGATGCCAAAAATGTAAAAAACTTTTTGGTCTTCGGCTGTTTTAACGAATAATAGATTTTTTCAAATTTGCTATGTATAAACAAAGAGGGGGTAAAAAAGGGGGGTTCCGGACTTGCTTTGGGAAAACGGCTGGTAGGGTGTGATAGAGTATATTATGTTCATGCCAGAAATGTAAAAAACTTTTTGGTCTTCGGCCGTTTTGACGGATAATAGATTTTTTCAAATTAGCTATGTATAAACAAAGAGAGGTCAAAAACGGGGGGTTCCGGACGTGCTTTCGAAAAACGGCTGGTAGGGAGTGATAAACTAGATTATATTGATGCCATATATGTAAAAAACTTTCTGGTCTTCGGCTGTTGTGACGAATAATAGATTTTTTCAAATTTGTCATGTATAAATAAAGAGGGGTCAAAAACGGAGGGTTCCGGACGTGCTTTCGGAAAACAGCTGGTATCGAGTGATAAGGTAGATTATCTTGATGCCAGAAATGTTAGGAAGTGATAAAGTAGATTATATTGATGCCAGAAATGTATAAACTTTTTGGTCTTCGGCTGGTTTGACGAATAATAGATTTTATCAAATTTGTCATGTATAAATAAAGAGGAGTCAAAAACGGAGGGTTCCGGACGTGCTTTCGGAAAACGACTGGTAGGGAGTGATAAAGTAGATTATATTGATGCTTGAAACGTAAGAAACTTTTTGGTCTTCGGCTGTTTTGACGAATAACAGATTTTTCAAATTTGTCATGTAAAATAAGGAGGGGTCAAAAACGGAGGGTTCAGGACGTGCTTTCGGAAAACGGCTGATAGGGAGTGATAAAGTAGATTATATTGATGCCAGAAATGTAACAAACTTTTTGGTCTTCGGCTGTTTCGACGAATAATAGATTTTTTCAAATTTGTTATGTATAAATAAAGAGGGGTCAAAAACGGAGGGTTCCGGACGTGCTTTTGGAAAACGGCTGGTAGGGAGTGATAAGGTAGACTATATTGATGCCCGAAATGTAATAAACTTTTTGGTCTTCGCCTGTTTTGACAAATAATAGATTTTTTCAAATTTGTCATGTATAAATAAAGAGGGGTCAAAAACGGAGGGTTCCGGACGTGCCTTCGGACAACGACTGGTAGCAAGTGATAAAATAGATTATATTGATGCCAGAAATGTAACAAACTTTTTGGTCTTCGGCTGTTTTGACGGATAATAGATTTTTTCAAATTTGCTATGTATAAACAAAGAGGGGTCAAAAACGGGTGGTTCCGGACGTGCTTTCGGAAAACGGCTGGTAGGGAGTGATAAAGTAGATTATATTGATGCCCGAAATGTTATAAACTTGGTCTTCGGCTGTTTTGACGAATAATAGATTTTTTCAAATTTGTCATGTATAAACAAAGAGGGAGCAAAAACGGAGTGTTCCGGACGTGCTTTCGGAAAACGGCTGGTAGCGAGTGATAAGGTAGATTATATTGATGCCAAAAATGTAAAAAACTTTTTGGTCTTCGGCTGTTTTAACGAATAATAGATATTTTTAAATTTGCTATGTATAAACAAAGAGGGGGCAAAAAAGGGGGGTTCCGGACTTGCTTTGGGAAAACGGCTGGTAGGGTGTGATAAAGTAGATTATATTGATGCCAGAAATGTAAAAAATTTTTTGGTCTCCGGCTATTTGACGAATAATACATTTTTCAAATTTGCTATGTATAAACAAAGAGGGGCCAAAAACGGGGGGTTCCGGACGTGCTTTCGGAAAACGCCTGGTAGGGAGTGATAAAGTAGATTATATTGATGCCAGAAACGTAAAAAACTTTCTGGTTTTTGGGCTGTTTTGACGAATAATAGATTTTAAATAAAGAGGGGTCAAAAACCGAGGGTTCCGGACGTGCTTTCGGAAAACGGCTGGTAGGGAGTGATAAAGTAAATTATATTGATGCTAGAAATGTAAGAAACTTTTTGGTCTTCGGCTGTTTTGACGAATAATAGATTTTTTCAAATTTGTCATGTATAAATAAAGAGGGGTCAAAAACGGAGGGTTCCGGACGTGCTTTCGGAAAACAGCTGGTAGGGAATGAT